AGGTACGTTACACTTTTTTCGCAATTGGCTTCTTGGCTACGGCTGTTTTCTTAGGTACAACTCCTAACTTGTAATGAGTCTTAATTTAGAGGGAGATACCTCTCAATACGGCAGTGACCAAAAACATTCTAATAAACCGTGCCAATTTGGCTGGGTTTACTTGTTAATTAGAAATTAAATACTTTTTAATGGCGGCCAAAGATGAACCTTTACGCTCTTTAAGTTCTTTGATAGCTGAAGTTACCATAACCGACGTTGTGCTGCAGGAGGCTTCTTCCCAGCTGCGGGCGTCGTCTTCTTTTTAGATGCGATTTCATGGTAAGTGGAAAAAAGCAACAGGAATTGCTGGACTGGGTAGTACTGTGTCTATCATATTGTCTAAATCTTGGGATTTGTATTCGATTATATAGAGACTATTAGGATTTCAGAACGGTAGAATTAGAGTTATAACGCAACAAATATTGTGTGGTATATAGTATTATAATGCCGTATATAGCCGTTCTGACTATTAAACAGGCACAACAGAATTAATTAAATAAAACTAAAAATTATTAAAAATTTTATTTTAAATTACATCGATTATATCTAATGTAATTGTTTTTTTCGATAAGCTAGTATTTCATTAGGAAATTTTAAAAACAAAGTAAAATTAGAATGTAACAGGTACTTATTGAAATTTGTTTTTCTTTAGGTAACTACAACCTAACTATATATTTGTTATTTCTAAATACTATAGGTATCGAAACATAATATTTTTAATTTGCATTTACTGTATTTATATAACACTTTTAAATCAATTTATTGTGGACATTGAATAAATAATAGGAGACCAAATTGAAGTTTTATTTACAATTGATTAATTAGGTGTTAAATTACTTTTTATTATTCACTACTAATTTTTTTTTGATCCGTTAACGTTCAGTTTGAATATTTGTACGTAGGTTTATGTTAAACAGTAACTTTTTCTGATGGATCATAATTTTTATTGTTATAATTAATTCAAACCGTGAATTTACTAATATCTTTTTAAAATCTTTGAAAAACCCCATCCAATGGTTCAGTGAAATACTCACAAAAAAAATTCAGAAACATCATCTGTTATAGAGTTATCGTTTTATGACAAATAGCCTTTTAATGAGCTACTACTCCTAACGCACGGTGTTTGATCCACTCTACACCATTAATTTCAAATCTTACTTGGTTAAACATTTGAGATATACCATTATTTAAAAGACTAGCTATAGTGAGTTTTGTTATTTTGCTCTTGATATAAAAACAATTTATGATAAAATGGATATGCATTTGACAACTGTTAAACTAATATTCTCAATTCATAATTACTTCTGTGACTTAGAGTATGTGGAATATATTAATCAATATTTCAATTTTAGTCATACACGTGTTCTAATTTTTACAATAGCCATGTATATTGATGATTATATATTTTAAGACATTCGATGATGAACTTATATTATATTTATTTGGTGGTCCTTAAAAGGACCGTTTTAAAGGTGTGATCTAGTTATGGTGGTTATAAAGGTGTAAGAAAATTCACTTTTTCTTGGGAGCCGTTTTTTTCGGCGTTTTTGGTTTTGCAGCAGCAGGTTTTTTCGCAGAAGTCTTTTTCTTGGGTTTAACGCTGGCAGCAAGGGGTGCCACTTTTGAAGCCTTTGTGGGAGTTTTTTTCGCCTTTTTGGTAGCTGGTTCACCGGATGCAGGTTTGGACTTTTTGGACGTCGGCTTCTTCTTTTTGGGTGTACTGGTAATAACAGCTTTTACTTTCTTCACAACAACAGGTTTCTTGACCACGGGCTTCTTCTTAGGTTTGACTTCAATAACGGCTAACTTGTAGCGGCCTTTGATTTGAAGAACGACCCCATTGGTAACAGATGCAGTCAAGAACTTTCTGATAAATGGTGCTACTTTAACAGGATCAACTTTATAATTCGCGGCTAAATATTTCTTAATTGCGGATAATGATGAACCCTTTCGTTCTTTCAGCTCCTTAATTGCGGCTGTGACCATCACGGAAGTCGGTGGATGCACAGCTGCAGGCTTCTTAACAGCAGCAGCACTTTTAGCGATAACAGTAACCTTCTTCTTCGTCTTGACGGTCGGTGACGGAACAGCCGGGGTTACTGGACTGGATTCTGTAGTCTCTGTCATATTGTTGAAATCGAAGTCTCACAGGATAAGATTTGTATTCGATGGAGCTGTGGTTTTGCTATAACTAAAAATATAGGCAGTCATGGTTTATATATAGTTTATACCGTACCGACTAGTAAACATGCCCAACGCAAAGATCTCGATTCGTTGAGTTTATGCTGAAGTTTTTTACGATAACTTTTCGGGAAATCACTCTAAAAGTTCGATTTCTTTTTTGACGGAAAGCCAACTAAATACCGAAAAACAGTGACTACAAAGGATTCGAAATATCTCTATCAAATATGTACTGTAAACCTTTGTTTCGGTACGTTCACTTAGTTTTCGTTGATCTTAATGAATAGCTGATCAACATTTTAATTTCACATGAAATTACAGAAACTTTCATTAGGCTTATTTTTTGGATATTTTAAAATGGGAATATGTTTTTAGATAGGCCAACCATTGGTTTTTGTATAAACGGTGACCATCGGAAAATGAGCACTTGGCGTCATATGTTTTGTTCATTAAGGATATCTACGATCACACGATTAAACATTTAAGCCATAGCATCTTATTGTATAACTATTTATTTACATAAAATTAAACAAATAATACTGATGAAATTGTATCAGTTTGATTTTAAATAACTTGAATTATATTAACGTATTTTCAATTGAAAATCGAAACCTTTGTGTTGTTAGACAGCCGATACGGTTAGTTAGGTAAATACGTAGCTTTACAAACTAAATAAAACAAGAATCGAACAGCTATTGAAATAGGATTACTCACAAAGTATCGACTGTATTTTTTTCGTTATTTCTTAATCCGAAGTACCTAGTTACCTGCGTAATGTTTGTAACGGTAGGCAAATTTAACATATTCCGATTTCCATTTCCAATTGTCAAATTTGGAATGTCTATTAAAGAAATTATATTTTTTTCATATGGGGAAAAAATAATAGAAGAGTGTGTATAAGTGTTGAAAATTTATATTTTTTCTTTAATACTTAATGTTTTTTTTCTGCTAACTATTTGTAGGTATTTAAATGTATGAACACTTGCATCTAAATTAAAGCGAATTTACGAGTTGTATTTGCCTCAGTCAAGATTAATGCAAACGATCGCTAGAAACACTTAGTTATAACCAACAATAAACAGTAGTATTATTAAATTTTTTTTTTTAAATGCCCTAGATATGAATGAAGAAAATTCATTTTTAATTTAATCACAGACAAATAATATTTGTACCATAATGTTACAGGTTAAATATATTTTGGTTAATTTCTAAAAAAAGCTAATTGATAAATTATCTATATAATAATATAATACGCTATAACAAAAATGTACAACAATGATTTTTCATCCGGTTTATCGAGGTAGTCCAAAAATAAAAAAAAAATACCTAAATATCGAATTTTAGAGAATGGTATTCACTCGGGGCTTAATTTCAACAACTATAAAACTTTACAAGATAACGGGAAGAACTTCCCATATTATCATAACGAATCAGATAAATGGTGTAGTAAAGTATGAAGGACAAGCAGACATACATTAGTTTTTATAAAAATAGAAAATAGATTTGAAAAAGAAATTAACATAAAACTATAGGTTCCTGCACATAACACAATAACAAAAACTATTGTTTTAGTATTATTTTCAGAAATTGTATTCTTTTATTTAATCAAATGAGAAAAATTACTGGCCGATTTATCTCTGTGTACAATTGCATAAATAGTTATATTCGGCTACTAATGTTTTGCGTTACTTCAACTACCGATATAATGAAACTATTTGTTAACCAGTAAAATGGTAAAAACCTAAATATTAAACATAATTGAGCAACACTCCTATAATTTTAATTTATCAACATTTTTCGAATAACATTATATGGAAAGCAAGCAACCCCAAATGTTCTATTTAGATATACTTCATTCAAGTTTTACAAAAATCATTTTTATAATTTCCTTTACACCATGGATACTACTAACTTTCGTACATCTAATCATAATAATTTATGACAATACATTTTTATCTATAAATATAAAACAGGAAATTCAGGCTTAGATTTTATGTCCAATTGATGTTTTTTGAGATAACCTGGGTATGTTTGAGTACTCACAATTTTTGTTAGGTTAACACGAGCCTGTGATTGGATATTTTAAAAATAAAGTATTAATTAAAAAAATGGTGGCCCTAATAAGGGCCCTTTTAAATTGGGGACAAATAGAAGACAATTTAGGCACGTTCCCCGCGAATTCGACGGGCCAATTGAATATCCTTCGGCATGATGGTAACACGTTTTGCGTGGATAGCACACAAATTGGTGTCTTCGAACAATCCGACCAAGTACGCTTCACTGGCTTCCTGTAACGCCATTACGGCGGAACTCTGGAAACGCAAATCGGTCTTGAAGTCCTGGGCGATCTCACGGACCAAACGTTGGAAGGGCAATTTTCGGATTAACAATTCGGTACTTTTCTGGTAACGACGGATTTCACGAAGAGCGACGGTACCAGGACGATAACGATGCGGTTTCTTCACTCCGCCGGTCGCTGGTGCGCTCTTACGCGCTGCTTTCGTGGCCAACTGCTTTCTCGGGGCTTTGCCACCGGTTGATTTACGGGCTGTTTGCTTGGTACGTGCCATGATAATTGGAAAAAAACAAATAAATTTGAAGTTCAACGACTAGATGATTGAAAATAACTGAACAACACAACAAGGAACGGCTAATATATATATAAAAGCGAGAACCATTGGTAGCGCTCTCATTGGCCAGGGGTATGTCTATCATATTGGGAGGGGAGAATTTCGGTTTATGTTCCCATTGGTCCAATCGTCGACTAAAATGTATAAAAGTGACTGACATTTCATAACGGGTTTATTTGGTGAACAAGTTTCGCTTCAAGCACTGTTCAATACTATCGACTATTTACAATGACAGGACGCGGTAAAGGAGGAAAAGGTCTCGGCAAGGGTGGAGCGAAGCGGCATCGTAAAGTACTTCGTGATAACATTCAAGGAATTACAAAACCCGCCATTCGTCGGTTAGCTCGTCGCGGCGGTGTGAAGCGTATCTCCGGTCTTATTTATGAAGAAACCCGAGGCGTCCTCAAGGTCTTTTTAGAAAATGTAATTCGTGATGCCGTCACTTACACTGAACACGCCAAGAGAAAGACAGTAACCGCCATGGACGTTGTTTATGCTCTGAAGCGCCAAGGTCGTACCCTATACGGTTTTGGAGGTTAACTCATACTATTTTCGACACAACAATCGTAAAAGGCCCTCTNATGAGTTCACAAACCAGGTTGAAAATAGAATAAAACGTCAAAAATTGGAAGGTGGCGTCATAGTAACGGCTGCGGCTATAAAAACAAAACTATCGTGTTTTTTCGAAATTGTTTCGAGGGCACCTAAACGAGGGTATTCAGAATTAGCATCATCAGACACGATCAGCCCACCGAAACGGAAGAAGCTAACACCAAACGATATCGTGACGTAGTTATGTGGTAATAAACTTGTATACAACCAGTAGCGTGTCCAGGAATTTCCTTAGTTCGCGTGTAGCTGCCGTGGAATGAACACATGTCGGTGCGTCGCTCCCGTGATTTTTATTTTTTGACGGAGTTAAAGTGTACCGATCAGTGTAAGTGAGGTACCGGAATTTCCGGCTAAGCCCAGTGCGTCTTTCAAGACTTCGCGCGCGGAAATCGCCTCACCAGAAGCGGAGATATCCCGGGATAAAGATTCCGGTAAGTGTAAAAACATCGCTCCGCCACGGCGGCACGCGAGTTATTTTATTTTTTTTGGTCACCGATCTGCTCGCGCGGGGTCTTAAAAGTTGCGGGAGGGTCCAACAAACCCCCCTCAACAAGCCCCGGGCCGATCGGCCCACTAACGGCTGAGGATGATCCTAGAGGATGATGTAATAGCGAATATTAATCGTAAACTGTTTGAGAGACTACTTTCGGACAGAAGCTTCAAAGTTCACCTTAACGGTGAAATAAGTAAAAAGAAAATTCTTCAAAATGGTTTGCCACAAGGTTCAATTCTATCTCCCATTGTTTTCGACGTGTATACGGCGGACATTATAAGAACAAATTCTAGAAAATTCATTTATGCAGATGACATCGGTATTGTAAAGCAGGGAAAAACATTTGAAGAAGTAAAGTATAATCAACCATTTCTAGAGCGTTTTTAAGTTTTTATAAATTTTTGGACCATAGAATAAGACTTAGCTAGTAAGTCAACTGCGATCACCTTCCACTCAAATAACTGCGAAGCAAATTATAAAATCATGGTAAATGTGAATGGGGAAGTTATACCAAATGAAGACTTCCCCAGATACCTAGGAGTAAAGTTGGACAGAGCCTTTACTTTTAAACCTCACCTGGAAAGTCTAAAAAATAAATTAAAAACGCGGAATAACATAATATCAAAACTAGCAGGTACAACCTGGGGTTGTAAAGCAAATACTTTACGCATCTCAGCCATGGCGCTCGTGTATAGTGCAGCAGAGTACTGTGCGCCAGCTTGGACAAGGAGCACTCACAGTAANGTTAGGAGTTGTACCTAAGAAAACAGCCGTAGCCAAGAAGCCAATTGCGAAAAAAGTGTAACGTACCTTTATCGGTATGCATATACCGCCCCCCCAAAAAAAGAAAAATCTTCGTCCAGAAAACCGGCCACCAAGATGAAAACAACAAATTCTTCTATACCTAAAAATGTCCAAATAATTAAAAAGAAAGTTCTTCAAAATGGTTTGCTACAAGGTTCAATTCTATCTCCCATTCTTTTCAACGTGTATACGGCGGACATTATAAGAACAAATTCTAGA